AGGGTTTAGGGTTTAGGGTGGAACCCGAAGCCCTTCAAATATACCCTACACACAAAACCCTGAACCTGACATCCAAAGCCTTTCAATGAAACCTTGCACACAAAACCCTAAACCCTGAACTCTAAAGCCTAAACCAAACCCTAAAGCCCTAAGCTTCGAAGTTTTAGGGTTTGGGGGGTGTATACACTCGGGCTAGGATCGTTCAGTTGGGCGGCAAGCTGGCCGGGCTGTTCGCTGAAAAGTGTGGGTTTATATATAGGGTCACACGAACTTCCGGCATTGTTTTTCATCCTGCATGCTCCGCCATCTTCGCATTGTACTGGAGCAGCCAACGCTGCAAAACGCGCTTGCTCAGTGTTGCACTGTGGACAGCAAGCTTAGCAACACGACAAAGTTGTCCCACGAAATCTTCTTCTTTGAAACAGCTGCATATCTTCGGGTTCAACCGAGCGCCGGATGCCGCCCTGCAGATGATTTGACAATGCAGCTGGTGTAGCTTTGGACGAAGTTTGTACCTGCATCTGACAATCGAACCAGAAATTTGGTTTCAATGTCCTGAACCCCTAAATTCTAAACCACAAACCCGTTCGGCCTGACACATCACAAATTGCCAGTCTAAGCTCAGCTGCAAAGCTCTTCCTGCTTCGACGTTTTTGGCGGCCAGAGACATGTACGTCTGAACATAGAGCCGCCCGGCCCTTATATGAGGATTCAACAGACCAGAAATATATAGAGGTCTGCAGAAACAATCGCGACTGCACGACGACAACGACGACGACAACCAATAACTACAGAGGAAACTATAGATATGTCATGTAGTTGGAAAAACAGCTAAACATTGGCAAGACTCTCCACCAGAAGAGTCCGCTGTTGATCATCAAGCCAAAACTTGGCTTCGTCGCACACAACACCGACCGTGTGCAAGGCCCAGCTGCACACCCATTGCATATACATGGAAGGGTCAGATGAGTCCTAGGCGCGTTTCGATTAGAAAAACCCTTGGCTCGTTAGACATACAGAAACTTGAGGGTTTAGGGTTTAAGGTTTAGGGCTTATATAAGGGTTTAGGGCCCTAGACCCTTACAGATAAGGCTAAGAGTAAGGGTTTGGGGTTTATTGGCTTCGGGGGCTGTAGATACGAAAATTATATGAGCACCAAGAAACACCCAGCGTGTCCGCGAAGTACGCGATCCTCGGCAGCACACTTTCTGTTTTTGTGTGTGAAAACAGTTCGGTGTCACGCATTTTCCTATATGTAGCTTACGCAAGCACCCACGCTTCAAATGAATCAGACGAAGTTTCATGACTTTGTTGGCGTAACCCTTGCTCGGGCCCTGGGGGAAGTCCAGGCTCAGCGTCTCGACGCCGAGCTTGCACAAGCCTCAACACAAACAACATTTGCAGTTGCAAACAAACTTGTTCAGACTACATGTTTAAACACATTTAACATATATCCCCACCTCCTGGTTGTGTTTTATAATAACAAGAAACTCAGCCCGTCAATTGTCGATGCCCGGATCCCACGCGCGGCGCACCAAGCCTGCATGTCTTTGTGTAAACCAGACAAGCGTTCGTCGTAGGTTGCGCCCACAAGATCTCGCCGATTCTCAGCCATTTCCATACAAAGGGAGCCCACAAGGTCTCTACCAGTTCCAAGCCATATGCAGTGTAGCAAGTCCGGCCCTTCCATATTGCACGACCAGCCGCTCAGTTGCTTCATAGCAATGTTTTCCCCCACCGCTGTTTCTTGAGCAAGAGCCACATCCGAATCGTTGTTGAATTTTTCTTTGACATCCAGCCAGTCGTTTTTGGCCGCGAAACATCGCGCACAAATTCCATTGGTGCCGTGGGTGACTTTCCCGTAAAATCGTGTCTGTTGAAGCCACTCCCGTCTGAATTTCCAATCTGCTTTCCCCGCCACCACGTGCAACGTTGCACCAAGCTTGTTATCCTTGTCCGCGCAGCGGTTCAAAGATTGAACCAGATCGGCTTGAAGGTGTTCCAACGTGATGTTCCTGTCTCCATTGTAATGGAAAAAGTCGCTCTTGATTACCTGGAGACGATTGGCATTTTCACTTATGCTCCAAGGCTCCGAAATCTCAAAGAAAGGGGTGCCATGCCTACTTTTAGCAGCAAGACACACAATAGGGAAACTTGCCATACATGGATTCTTTCGAGCTTGCCAACGGTGACCAAGAAATGATAAGCATGTTCCTGGAGCGCTTGGTCTGGCCCTCGTCTCCGTGTATTGAGATTGGGTATGCAGTTTTTTTTTCAGCATCGCTCCAGCTTTGCACCGGGTGGTTCCTTGAAATCTTTGTCAAGTTGAAACAACAAACAATCATGAAATCTTTCATGGGCAAACGCACTAATATTGGAGTACCGCAGGCGCATAGACAGTCGGACTTTTACAGCCCAGGCACGCCCCCCAGTCTTCGGAGCGAGCCTCGTTCCAAAACTCCACGAGGTCCATGGAATCTTCATTCCTGACCATCGAACAGCTTTGCGAATCAAATTTTGCCATCCTAGACTTCAGGTAGTGTTTCGAACTAAAGAAGAAAAACAATTTATATGGGTAAAGCTGCAGTTCACTCAGCAATCCTGCTTGGACGATTCCTTGAAAAAGGTCGAAAGGGCGAAACACAGGCCAGGATTGGTAGCAGGTGGGCCCTGGGGCCGGATATTTTGTTTTCTTCTTCGGCCTCGGCTGCTTTTTGCCGACTGCTAGCAGGATGCCTCGTCTCCTCTGGCTCCTGGCCCTGTTGGCTTCTCTCGCAGTGATCGTGCTTTTGTCTTTCACCAATATGGTCGGCGTAGATACGGAACATTTCAATGGAGTCTTGGCTGTCTTTATGTTCCCGAAAACACACCCACACATGTTTACAAAAGCGAAACTAGAGCCGAATTGCTAAGTTGAGGGGAAGCTTCGCCCTTGGAAGAATGGCTCGCCCGATGCAAGCGCTCCTCGATGTGTTGCGCGCGGGCTCCCTTGCAACCCAACGTCGTGGCCCACCGTGTGCCTGCAGCATCAACACACTCTGTTTTCGTTCTTACAGCAACTCGAGTTTCCGAAATCCGAAACCGCAAAGCTTCAAAGGCCTGTATAGGCCTTGATTCTTAAAGTTTGATGAAAGCCACTCAACACCAAAGTTTGATGCAAGTAGCTTTTGGACATTCGTCCACCACATTCAGCTGCGGCCGCTGCCGATATCGTTTGCACAGACGAGGCTGCTTGCCCACGCCCGACATTCCACGCCAGCACCCGTGTAAGAGGGGACTGCAAAGAAAAGTCGGAGCTCCTACTCCGATCTTGTGTTTCTACACGCTTCCGTTCTCTATACAATCGTCGCGCCGCTTTCAGCATGTTGAAAGCCAGAGCACACAGTCAGGCCAACAGGCCCACGAAAAGGACATGGCACAGCTAATTAGCTAATTAACAGACACAATCATTTTTCTCGCACTCCTGTGCTGCCGCGGATAGAGCTCTACTGTTTTCTGGCTGAGGTACTACTTTTGGGTTTTTGGGGAAGTTTGGGTCTCGTTCTACTAATTTGTGACGGGCAGGGCTTGTAGTTTAGGCATAGACACATCTCCCTATAGACAGCTTTGGAGAACGGTCTGAATTTGGGGAGGCAAGACTATCATGGTACACGAATGATAAGGGTTTAGGGTTTAGGGTTTAGCGATGAGTGCGTTTCTGAAGTTCATGTAGGGTAGGGTTTAGATTCGGTTAGATTTTCAGAATCATCCTTTCGACCATGATATTGCAGTCTTTCGGGCTCCGGGCACATTGCATCTTGATAACTCAGATGCATTCACTGGGTCAAATTGAATGACTTGCGAATCGGCGCACGATCTGATGCTCAGAGGATGCACAAACACATTGTTTGCAGTCGAGACGACCTGCACATCCAGGTAGAATCAGCTAGCTATGACTTTGAACGACACAGTCATGTTCAGCACGACTGTTCGCCTACCCAGCCCCATATCGGCCGAGTGCCGATGTTGCCCCGTGGCAGGAGGCACCATGGATCGCACATTATTGGGAATGCAGGGCTCGGGGATGTTACCATACAGGGCTTGGACAACGATTCTGGGTTGCGATAGAGTCTTAGAATTAAGGCTATGCCCTCGAGGAACTTCAGGAGCCTCCCACCAGAAATCAAAACCTTCATCAAAAGCCAAACTAAGCCTTCGGAGCAGCAGCAGCCTGTTTAGGTGCAGCGGCTTCAGCGGCTTTGCGTGACTCACGGTTGAAGCCTTGGATCCTGAGTATATCAACACGGAAGCTAGCTACTGCTTCGTAAGCACGCACCCAGCAGAACCCGTAATGCTTCCCAGGGACAGATTCGCAGCGACTTTGCCGTGCTTCTTAAAAGCCTCCACGTAGGGAGCCGCCTCGCGAGAGGGAGGAATTGACGTGGTTTGGGCTTTTAGCAAATAGGATAAGAAGCCCTGCTTTATGAAGAGATAGAAACCCTACATCTATAGTCTATTCTCATATAACATAGGACTCTAAACCCTAAGTCCCTATATATGACTGTTTTTGCGACTTTAAAGTCGTGAACCCTCTACTTTTAAGTGCCTACACCCTGTGACCCTACTTGGATCAAGCCTTCGCAAGAATCTTCTGTACGGCATCCGGGGTTTTCACCTTCAAATCCTGGAGCTCTGCTCGTGAACTAGCCATGCCAAGCGCAGCTTCCGTAATCATCTTGATCAGCTCGGACTGCGATTGCAGAGGCCCCAACCTAGGAGGTTTGGGGTGTTGGTTTAGGACTTTGGGTTTAGGCTGTTGGGATTGTCAACAACCTCGGGCTTAAGGCTTTGGGTCTAGGATTTGGGGTTTAGGGTTTGGGATTGCAGAGGCCACATGAACCTGGGGTTTAGGGCTTTGGGTTTAGGATTTTCGGCTTAGGGTTTTGGGATTGCAGAAACCCCCCATAACCTAGGGTTTAGGGCATTGGATTTGGGATTTAGGGTTTTGGGTTTTGGGATTGTCGACAACCTAGAGTTTCAGGCTTTGGGTTTTGGATTTAGGGTTTAGGGTTTTGGGATTGCAGAGGCCACATAAACCTGGGGTTTGGGGCTTTGGGTTTAGGATTTTCGGCTTAGGGTTTTGGGATTGCAGATCGAAGCCGGCCATAACCTAGGGTTTAGGGTGTTGGATTTGGGATTTAGGGTTTTGGGTTTTGGGATAGACGACAACCTAGATTTTCAGGCTTTGGGTTTAGGATTTTGGTTTAGGGTCTCGGGATTGCAGATCGAGACCCCAACGTACCTAGGGTTTAGGGCTTTGGGTTTAGGATTTTGGGTTTAGGATTTTGGGTTTAGGATTGTGGGTTTAGGATTGTGGATTTAAGCTTTTGGGTTTGGGGCTCAGATATACTGAGTTGCCAAAGCAGTTTAAAGGCATCGATATATACATATATATGTGACTAATACGATCAGCCACAGGAACTCTATCTTGGTAGTAGTGGCCCGGCCCTCGGCCGCCGTACAAGCAGCCACCCAGTTGGTAACGAACTCATCCAAGTTGAAGTCTTTTGCAGCCATCATCGTCGTGATGTCGATCTCGAGCTCCGAGCCCTGATATGGGTGGGGTGAGCAGCTTTATGTAACATGGGGAGCTACTTTTTAGAGGAAGGCCTGTCTTTTGGGGGCTCGAGCTTTCTTCTTCGGTTGGGTGTCATCAGGCTTCTTGAGCTCCTTCTTCGGATCTCCCTTCCCACCAGGCTTGGTGCTTTCGGCGCCAGGCGGCGGCGGCGGCGCGATTGCTCCCTGGCTGCTCCTGTTTGGGTCGTGACCCTGCTCTAGGATTTGGGAAACCTCCGTAGCATAACTCGCTTCTGCACCAAGCTCGATGCAGATCTCATCCTTGGATTAAAGAAACTTCAACAACATCTGAGCAGTGCTACACAAGATCACTCGATCATGCCGGCCAAATTATTTGGGGTGCTTCACGTAAAGCCAGGACACCAAAGATCGCGTCGTAAGCGACCTCTTCTCGCGCTGGAAGTACAAGTACGTTTTGATCTCGGGATTGTTGCGGTCCGTCGACGTCCTTTGCCATGGTGTTTGGTTTGGGGGATCATTAGTTACTTTTTCGGGTGGCATATCTACATATATAGGCGAGCGTCCCCTTGAACTGTGTAGATCGCATCCTGCAGAAGTCCATTGCCCTTGCCTCATTACCCGAAAAGAACTCCACGATCTCATTGTACGGGTAGTAGTGTCCTCCGTGATTCGTTTAGGGCTTTGGGATTAGGGTTAGGGTTTTGGGTTTGGGGTTTTGGTTTAAGAATAGGGCCTAGGGATTCGGGTTTAGGGGTTTAGGGCCTTATATAGTGGATTAGATTTAAGGGTTTAAAGTTTAGAGTTTAGGGGTTTAAGAGTTAGGATATACATAAATATACAAAATGCACAGTGGTGGTGGGTGGTGGTGGTGGGCTTTCAGGAGCACAGGTCTCTATAAGGTTTTGTTGCTACGGCTTCAGCTTATCGAATGCGGCCAAACCCTAAGGCATATATATATATATATATATAGGGGCGAAACCCTAAACTATAGTCGGAAGATGTTGGGCGTAATATATTAGGATTACATAGAGTAGGCACCCCGGCCTTCATCCTGGGACATGTCCTCGTGCTGGCGCTTGAAGCGCAGGACCGCTTCGAGGGCCAAACCATTGCCTCAAATGTAAGTCCCGATGTAATCCCAAACCACTTAATGTAAACCAATATAGTCGGTTGCATCTATTTGATGTGTAAGCCGAGACTCAGCCAGCTTGCACAAACTTTTGAAAGGCTGCGAGCTTGAACGCTCCTCCTTTCCTGGATGCTATGATCGAAAGCAAAACTCAGCTGATGTGATTATGTACATGCACGACACGTATACGGTGCTGGGGTTCTGACGCATAAGCTTTCTTCAGCTCCGATGCATGCTCGTGCCGCTCACAGAAGCGGGTGTATTTTTTGGTACTCGGCTGGGTGGGTCCCACTGTCGACTTTCTTTGGGTCTGTGTAGGGAACCCTCCCTGCAGGGGCGAGGCCTGCTGCTGCGGGTGTTGCTGCTTCGGGTGCAGGAGGTGGCTCGGTGCTTTCAGTAGCCTTGACCGGGGGCGGGGACATGCCTGGCGCACTCTTTGGGACCGCAGGGGCCTGCACGGCGTGAGGTTCTGGGGTGGCAGGCACTGTCGCGGTGGCCTGCTCTTGCACAGGGCCAGAACAACTGCAGCCGATTGTCGATGCCATTGCCAAGCTCTGAGCACCGCCAGCTTGTAACTGCACAAGCAGATTAGCCAAAACCTGAGTCTGGCCATTGGCATTGGGTGTAGCTGGCACGGGCGGCGGTGTTGTTGGAGCCATTGTAGTCGCTGGACTGTGAGACTCCGGGGCCGTTGCGGGAGACGGTGTTGCCTGTCCTGGGGGCGGAGTAGCTGGAACCGGATTGGTTTCCGGCGCCTTGTGGGGAGACGGTGTTGCCTGTCCTGGGGGCGGAGTAGCTGGAACGGGACTGGTAGTTTCCGGTGCCTGGTGGGGAGACGGTGTGGCCTGCGGGGGCACGGGTGCTGCTGCAGCTGTCGTCGTTTCGCTAGTGGATGAAGCCACCGACCTAGCTGGATCTGCACAGCTTAAATATATGTTTCTGTGTCACGATTGATGATGCACTAATATTTGGTAACCATTCATTTAAGAGCACACACACACACACTGCACACATAGGGGGTCTGAGTGCTTGTCTTCCTATTTAGAGCATGTACACGTGTGGGGAGGATCGTTCGGTTTTTGAGAGCTTATGTAGGGCCGAGGTTTTGGGATTTAAGGGTGGTTGAGCTAGGGATAGCACGAAGAGTTGAATTAAGGGGAATCGTATACATGTCTAGTTAGGGATAGTTGTGTTCGCTATGTCTTTACTCTGAACCCAGGGAAAGCAAATTGAAGCAGGTGGCTCGAAAGATCTGGAACGAAGCCTGGACCAAAAGTCCTTGTACTTTCCCTTCTCAGCATCAGATAGTACCGGGAGGGCAAAGTCGTCGTCCTGCACACGAAAACATTGTTGGATGTCTATATAAGTTAAGCATAGCAGAATACTCGTATTGGTTGTTTAATGATGGGGTCCTTGGCCTTTCGGGCAACCTTGCTTGCCTTGGGGACGGCGCCGAGGTTGGGTGCAGTCTGCTTGGCCATCGTGGCAGCCGAGGCATCCGGATCGACCAGTGTCTGCACAGGGCAACACAGCTAGCTTATTCTTATGTATAGAGTACATTATAGAGATTCGCAGAATCGCTATGTTATTGTTTATCGGAACCAGCACCTGAATAACTCGAGCTGGCAGACTATAGTCTTCGAAAGATGATGCTTTGCAAACCGTCGAAGCCGCCCTCCCCACACTGTCACCCGCCCTATCCTGTGTCCGGTCCGTCCCTGCGTGGTCTGCTTCTCGTTTGAGCGGCCGGGCTTCTGAAAGGATGCGTGCTTTTGCTTCCTCCTTTTCCTTTGCCTCCCTTGCGGCACGCTCGTTTGCTTCCTTGATTTCCTTTTCCTCCCTCGCGGCACGCTCTTTTGCTTCCTCGAGTTCCTTTGCCTCCCTCGCCAGACGGGCCTGGGTTTCTCGTTCCTTCGCTTCCTTCATTTTGGTTTCCCTCTCCTGTGCTTCTTTCTCCTTCATCGTGGCTTCCATCTCCCGGAGTTGTCTGGCCTTTGCCTCCTCCTGTTCCTTGGCCTCCCGAGCCGCCGTCTCCTTTGCCTCCTTTTCCTTTGCCTCCCGCTCTTGTCTCTCCTTTGACTCCTTCTCCCGCGCTTCTCTTGCCCTTTGCTCCTTCTCGAGAAGCTTCAACGTTTGGAACTCCAGGGCCCTCCTTTCCTCCTCCTTTGCCTTGGCCTCTCTCTGGAGACGCTCGAGCTTTTTTGCTTTGGCTGCTTCCAAAGCAGCAGCTGCCGTCGCCATGGCCAATCTGGCCGCTTCTGCGGCAGCAGCCGCGGCCTTTTCCTCATCTTCATCCTCCGCTTCTGGGCCTTGGGTGAGCCCCTCCTCGGTCAGTTGCCGTTCAAGATCCTTGCGGATCCCATGTACCTCCTCTAAGTCGCTTCTAGAGGCTCCATGGTGGAGTGATAAGCCGGAATTCGACCTTCCCGAAAGCACTAGTGTCTCTGTCGATCCACCAGCTAGCAAGGTTGCCTCGCAAGTTCCATCCCAAGTCTGAGTCTCGAGAGTAGTGATGTCTGGGCTCGGGCTGGGTTCAGCTTCTACAACCTTCACAAAGTCGGCAGCCTTTTGGGTTGTGTCCGGGCTCGGGCTGGGTTCAGCTCCTAGAACCTTCGCAGGGTTGGCAACCAGGCTTGGGGTCGTCACGGGGCTTGGGGCTGCAACAGTCGCCGGAGGCGTGGCTGGCGGCCCTGCTGGAGCCTTCGCCGGCGTGCCCGTGAGGGCAAGCCTCAAGGATGGCAAATCGGGGCTTTGGCATATATTTAAGGTTGATTAGTATAAAGATTTGGGGGCGGATTGGAATTCGGGCTGGGAAATAATATATTATAGGGCTAGGGCAGTGATTGGTTTTTAATTCCCCAATATATAGAATGAGAACGTACTCAAGATATCACCCTATATATAATGAGTATAGCTAGTTATCCCCCCTAAAGTCGTACAGGTAGCATTCGACGATGCAAGACCACCAGTTCTGGCTTGCGAAAGAGTTGACTCTTTAATTCAGATCGAAGCATCCGAAGAGACAATTGTGTGGGGTTTTGAAGCTAGTTCCGGGCATAGCTTGCAAAGCAGGGGTCTAGAACCCAGAAGCCTTTACCTTTCACCCAGAAACCCCAAACCCCTAAACGCATAAAGCATCAACCAGAAACCCTAAATCCAGGGTCGCTTTGAATTGGGCTTTTTGCTGGAATTCTAGTTCAGGGTTTATGAAAAAGGGTGTAGAGGTTTCTGGGTTTAGGGTGTCTGTTCCGGACTGTACATAGGTTCTTGAATTTTGGGTCTTACAAATGGCACACAGTGTGGCTGTTGACTGCGGCTTTCTGGGTAGGATCTGGTCCGGAGTCTCGATCATCAAGCGACCCGAGACCTCCCTATGGTGGCCCACGCACATGCAACATGTGTGTGTGTGTGCAGTTTAGAGTTTAGGGTTTACATAGGGGGTTAAGGGTTTAGCTAGGTGTGTGTGTGTGTCCATTAAATTTATGTATATATGCATGTACGGATGTATGTATGTATGTATGTATGTATGTATGTATGTATGTATGTATACTATGTATACTATGTATGTAGGTATGTGTGTGTGTATGTATGTATATGTATGTAGGTA